CAATCGACATCAAGATCCGTATAAGTATTTTCCACACCATCCACTGCTGGACGTCTCCCCGGATGTATTCTGACTAGCATTTCGAGGCGACTCCAGCGGTTGTAGACGAGGGTCTCCAAGGAGGCCCCCAAAAAACAAACGATGCAATCATATCGGTACCTCTCCCTCCTCTGAGCATGACGCTGCCCCTGCACGCAGGGGTGAGGGGCCAGTCGCACTCGCTGTGCAGATTCATCATGATCTGCATCACCTCCATGCGCTCCTTGCCAGGCGAGGTGAGGTGAGGTGAGGTGAGGAAGGAGGAGGAGGAAGAGGGGGAGGAGGAGGAGGAGGAGGAGGAGGAGGAGGAGGGTGGAGTCGAGGAGGAGGACGAGGAGGAGGAGGAGGAGGAGGAGGAAAAGGAGGAGGAGGAGGAGGAGGAGGAAAAGGAGGAGGAGGAGGAGGAGCGGGGAGGAGGAAAGGGAGGAGGAGGAGGAGGGTAGGCAAAAAACATGGGCCGCGTTCGCCGAAGGCCCACCGCCCTGAGGGGACGTTTGAGCACGGAGAGCAATCCAAGGTGACGCGTCCAGGCACGAAGGGCACAAGGGCACCCGTCCAAAGCTGTGGCTGCTCTTATACGAGAGCGGCGCGCACAAGGGGGTGGAGGGAGGGGGGGCGTTCTTCGAAGGAGGCTGCTGATCTACAGATGAGGCCCGCGCCTTCTAAGAAGCAGGGGTGCTTCTGAGAAGCCCTCCCCCTGCCCCCCAACCCCCTCTGCGCGTGGCTGATATACGAGAAAGGCCCTGATGCACCGAGCCATGCTTGGATTCCCATCTGGCCTCGCCCCAACGCGGTGCGGTGCACAGCTTTTCGGCTCCGAGGGCCGGAAAACCATGCACTGTACTTTTTCTCAGAGGTCCGGAAGCACTTTGCGGCTCTGAAGGCCGACAAAAATTGTTCGGCTCTGAGGGCCGGAAGATCGACGACTCCTCTGGAGACGTCAGCACGGCACGGCGAACACAGGCCGTCCGCGGATCTTAGACCTCGTGGCGTCCTGGCCTCCAGCACCCAGCGCTTGCCCGAAGCCCTCGAGCTCGACTTCCACCTTCAGGAGGAGGAGGAGGAGGAGGAGGAGGAGGAGGAGGAGGAGGAGGAGGAGGAGGAGGAGGAGGAGGAGGAGGAGGAGGAGTCTCAGAGCCAGGCGATCCTCGCCCGCCCGCGCTGGCAGGGGCCGCGAGCGCGCCGCGGGGCCACCGAGAGTGCTCAGAGGTGGTGCTGGAGAGGGCCCGGCGGGGCATCGCTCGGACCTCCATCCCCTGTGTTTTTTGTCCGGTTTCGTGCGTGGCTTTGTTCGCAAAGTGGATCGCATGCTCCTCGACGGTCCTCGCCGAGGACAAACCGCACACGCCCGAGCGATGCCAAGCCAGAGGCGCAGCACGCCCTCCGGGCCCGCGGGCTCGGATGCCACCCGGGGGTTCGAGCCCGGCGCGAGCTGCTTCCGTGCGCGGCCGAGGGAGGCCTCTTTGCCCTGCGCCGGAGGGCAGCGTCTCGCCCCGGGTGCGTGCGCGAAGGCCCCGCGGCCCGAACACGGGCCCCGGGGGCCTAAACATAGGAACGGCGCCCAGGCGACCATGAGATCTGGATCTGGGTATGAGGAGGAAGTGCCAGAACAGACGACTGGCATCATGCATCTGTCTGGGTGCACGCCCATATACGTTCTCACACACACACGCATGCTTACCTTCGGGGATGGACAGACCTCCCTTTAGTAAAGCTTGGTTTAGTGAAAACGACCTGAGGCCCAAACCTGGCAGGCGCAAGCCTGGAAAATAACGGCCACGGCGCCCTCTCGAGAAACGAAAACGGACAATTCACTAATCGATGTGTCACTGCGGGGGGTTCTGTCCACCCCCGATACATACACACGTATACATCACACCACCTCTTGACTTGAGTATGAGGACTAAACCCCAGAACAGCCACACAACGAGCACCGCTCAGTTTCACACGCGCAGGTTTAGACGCGTGCACACCTCCGTATCGGCACAGACAGACATGCATACACATCTGGATGCGCATGAGGGTGCACACCCGCGTCTGCACACGCATCTTCACGCATGCACCCAGGTCCGAGGCGCCAGGGCCCCCCACCGTCGGATCGCTCGGCGCAGGCCGAGGCCCCACCCTCCCCAAAGAGTCGGAAGAATAGTCCGGGGGAGGGGGCGGCAAAAAATCGGGGATCTTCTGGCCCGGGTCGATCCAGACCCGGGTCAGCAGGAACCCAAACGCTGCAATGCAGGAACAAAAAAACAACTGCCACGCAGATCTTCGCAAACCCAGGTCAGCCAATACGCGCGGCCGCCTCGCGGCCCACGAGCGGCTCGCTGACCCGGGCCAGCCAGCAGGGGTCTTCGCAGGATCCGCAGGATCTGGTGCCCTGGCTGACCCCCGTTTGCATTGACTCGGCTAGGCGTAAGAGTGACCCTGGGTAAGCGTGACCTTTGGTGCGCGGCTTCTTGGGGGCCGCGGGGAGACCAAACCTGGGCGCGCAAGCCGCTGCTCCCGCTTCGGTTTCAGCCCTCCTGGGGGCCCATCTGTGCCCGCACCGAAGGTCACTCCGGCGAAAGGTCACTCTTACGTCTGGCCGAGCACTGACCCCTCCCTCCTCCTCCTCCTCCTCTCTCTCATCTCCTCCTCCTCCTTTCCTCCGCCTCCTTCCTCGTCACCCCCCCTCTCTTCCTCCTCTCTCATCTCTCCTCATCTCTCTTCCTCCTCCTCCTCTCTCCTCTACTCCTCCTCCTCCTCCTCCTCCTCCTCCTCCCCCGCCTCAGGGCCCCCGAGCAGGAGCCGGGCGCGCGGGCGGCCGGCGCGCGCGCTCCGTCTCGAGGTCCTTCTTCTTGTCCGCCTCGACCTGGGGAGGCGGCGCGCGCTCCCGCGCGCCCATCCCTCCGAGGGCGCGGGGAGCTCGGCCCTCGGCCCTTAGCCCTGGGTCGGGCAGGTCCTCCGGCAGGGGTTATTTTTTGGGCGGGGAAGAGAAATCCCAAAATATTCAAAACGATTGCCATAGTACACGAATCCTCCCCCCTGATGAATTGTTGTTTGACTGTGTTTGCATGTTTGTCCTCCTGTGGAGGGGCGTGCCCGACTGACTCCTGGACAACCCGGCTCGGTCGCATCCGTCCCTGAGATCGGCAAGCCCAGGGGCGACGACAGTCTTGGTGATGCGCCCGCTCTGCTTTGCTTCGGGCTCCGCCTGGGATTATCCGAGGACGCCGTGAGGGCGCATATAGTGAGGCGCACTCAGTATTTGAGGGGATCCTTGAGATCGGCATCGGATGCGGCCCACCCCCTCGACCTGGGGCGCAGAAGGACAACGTGCTAGTACAGAGCGCCCCATCGGAGGCGCAGAGTCCGAGCCGAACGTGTAGCACAAACATCTCAGAGCATACCGCTACCCTGGCGGCACGGCCAGAACGCGCCTGTCACCGGGCATACACTCCAAGACTCCTGAGCGCGCACGGCACCCCCAGGAGGCCGACGCGCACATGGTATCAGTGCGTGTGTGTGTGTGTGTATGTGTATGTGTATGTGTATGTGTATGTGTATGTGTATGTGTATGTGTATGTGTATGCGCATGCGTATGCGCATGCGTATGCGTATGCGTATGCGCGTGCGTGTGCGTGTGCGTGTGCGTGTGCGTGTGCGTGTGCGTGTGCGTGTGCGTGTGCGTGCGTATGTGTGTGTGTGTGTGTGTGTGTGTGTGTGTGTGTGTTTGTTTGTCTGTGTCTGTGTGTGTGTGTGTGTTTGTCTGTGTGCTTGTCTGTGTGCATGTTACTGTATGTTGGGAGGAGATGCCGGCGACTGCCTCCGCGGATGCCGAGCCCTGCCCTCGGCCATCGAGGGGCCGAGGGGCGAGGCTTCCCAGAGCCGCGAGCCCCTCCCCGGACCCTCGGAGTCCGCGGAGCCCTCCCCACGGCCTCGGACGACCTCCGGACGCGGGGCGTGCGCAGAGGAGGTGAGGAGGGGCGGGCCCTCTCGGAAGGCTCCGAGGGCCTCGGGCCTCCGGAGACGCAGAAAACCTATAGGCTGCTGAGAAGCCCCGCCGGCTTCCGAGGCGGCCTGCTCCTTCCCACTGCCGCCGGGGCAGGCCGCCGAGCGCTGCCACAGCGCATCTTGCTAACCTCGAGGTGCTTCGCTCGCTCGGGGGCGTGCGCGAGGGCCCCGTCCAGGAGGGGGCGCCGCGAAGCCGGAACTGGGGGACATGCTGATGGAAGCTGGGGCCATGACATCAGGGGAGATTCCATGGCCCCGGCCATTGTAACCACGCCCCGCCTCGTGATTCCCACCCTTGGACGTCCCCGACCTGTGCCCGAGCGCTCCACACGCACGCTGGGAGCAGGCAGTCATCTGGAAAGTACAGGTGGGGCAACCTGGATGCACCGGTACCGCCACTCCCCGGACCTCTCAAGGTGTGAGTACTGACCAGAACTTCGAGGCGAATCCAGCGGTGGCGACGAGGGCCTCCCAGAAGGCCGAACAAGGGGAGAGCGAGGGAAGGGCAGAAGTGTACAGGTCCCCCTCCTTCGTCGGAACGGAGGGCCTTGGGACACGCACAAAGAAGTACGCACCAAGAACAGGAGCCCCCCTATTTTCCCAGATTTCCTGGCTTTTTTCCTACATTTTCGGGGGAATCGACGACTCATGGTGTCTGTGTGTGTTTTTTTTTTCCCCCTCCTGAGGAGCCAGGGGGGGGGGGCACACCGCCGACCCTCTGCGGGCGGGTGGCCGTCGTCGACGGGCACCGCCGGCTCTTCCGCCAGCCGCCCGGGCGCGCCCGTCAAGAGTCGGGGGCGCGCCGCCGTGGACTCGCGATCCATGGACGAGGGGGAAGAGGTCGAGGGGGAAGAGGTCGAGGGGGAAGAGGTCGAGGGGGAAGAGGTCGAGGGGGAAGGGGTCGAGGGGGAAGAGGGGGAAGAGGTCGGAGGCGCGCAGACATGGCTTAGCGATCCATGGACTGGGCGCGCGGTCGCCAAATTCATGGATCGGGGGAGGCGCCCTCCCCAAAATGCGGCGGGTGCCGCCTCGCTCGCGGCGGATATCCGCGATTTCCCGTGGAAACGGGACCCGTCGCGAATCCACGCCCCCTTAAACCATGTTTGCGATCGCCTGACTCTGGAGGGGCGATGGCCGCGGAAGAGGGCGGGGGGTGGGGGCACGAGGGAACGGCAACGACTCCTCGGAGCGCACGTGCCCACTCCCCCCAGAGGCCTGCAGCGACTCTTCGGCCTCGGCCTTGGCGGCCTCCTTGTCGGTGAGGGCCTGCGCCGACGCTGGCTCGGCTGCCGCGGCGTGGGGGGGGGGGGCTCTTCCTCCCCGTCGCCCGCCACTGACCAGCACCCCATGCCGCTCGCCGTCGAGGTCGTGCTCCTCGCCCCTCGCCCTTCCCCTCTCGTCCCTCTGGACGGACCCTCCTCTCTGTGTGCTTCCTGCTGCTCTTTCCCTGACCTCCTAAGACTCTCGCATCGTTCTCCTCGCCCTCCCCTTCTCCTCTTTCTCGGCGCCAGCTGTGGAAGAACTCGGGCGAGTGTCTTGAACTGGCGGCGGCACGGCCGGCCTTCGTGGGCAGGCTGGGACACCCCTTCCTCCCCGTGGACTCTCATTGGCCCACCCGTCTCGGCATCGCAACACCGGGAACCCAAAAAGCAAGGAAAGACAAGCTGAGGCAGGACGCGGGGCTGCTCGAGGACTGCCACGGAACCCACCAGCCGTCAAAAACGGTTCCCTGGACGCGTGGGGGCCGAACAAAGGCAATGAAGCCCGCCGTCGTCGCGCGACGATGCAAGGCCTCAGAATGGTCCAGCAATGAACCCCACAGCAGGGTGACGAGAGGAGAGATGAGGGGAATGCGGGAGTTGGAAGGAGCGGGGGGGATCAGAGCGGAGCGAGAGCGCGGAGCGCGCCACGGGCGGCGCCGGAGGCGCCGCCAGAGGGCCCCGCGCCAAATCCAAGACTTCCCCGCGGAACTCCGACAGCTTCTGGTTACATCGGTTCTCTTCGAGGAAAGGAAGAGGAAGATAGGACGAGGGCGAACAGGGAGCAAGAGAAGACAGTTTGGAGTCCCGAAATGGTGCGGTGACAGACCGTGCGGTGACCTCGGAACCCCAAGAGACCTCACCGCACGGTCCGTCACCGCACGGTTTTGGGACCCCAAAGGTCCCGGTCGCCCGAGACATCCTCGGAGAGGGCCTCGAGTCCCAAAACCGTGCGGTGACCCCGAATTCCCACCGACTCACCGCACGGTGTGGTCACCACCCCGTTTGGGGGCCCCCGAGACAGAGGGCCCCGTCGTCGCTCCGGCCGGCGGCCGGCGCCCGTGGCAGCTGGCACGGGCCATGCGGGAGCGGGCACGCAGAAACTCCTGGGAGGTCTTCGCGCGAAGGAAACGAGGGCAGGGGAGCCCGATCGAGAGGCCATGGGGCCGGATTGGGCCGGAGTGGGCCCAAGGCTGAAGCCAGCTCAACTGGGCTTCACTGGAGTAGGCCGGAGCAAGCGGGACCGTGCTGGGTTGGGCCAGTTGTCGGCCAAGGGATACGAGGAGGAGGAGGAGGAGGAGGAGCAGAAGGAGGAGGAGGCACCAATGCTGACTTTGGCCGCTCAGAAGCTGCGTCCTGGCGCTGGGACGGTTCGCACCACTCTGGACCGCGACAGGTTGTTTCTGTGTCCAACTGGGGGTTTCTGTGTCCCCGTTGGGTGTTTCTGTGTCCCGCGCCGCCCGGGGGTCCCCAGGATGAGTGTTTCTATGTCCGCTATGATGCCGTTCTAATGAGTTTCGTATTGTGCGACGATGCCCATCATCTCGTGGAAATCAAACCGTTGTCCAATAGGGGAAACTTTTGCGTCCAGGATTTTGTGGACGCGGGACACTTTGGAGTTTCTGTGTCCGCCACCTTGTGCTCTTGTGGCATCGTGTGTATGTCATGCTTGTGGCACTACTACTACTACTACTACTACTACTACTACTACTACTACTACTACTACTACTACTACTACTACTACTACTACTACTACTACTACTACTACTACTACTACTACTACTACTACTACTACTACTACTACTACTACAACTACTATTACTACTACTACTACTACTACTACTACTACTACTACTACTACTACTACTACTACTACTACTACTACTACTACTACTACTACTACTACTACTACTATTTCTACGAATACGACTACGACTACGACTACGACTACGACTACGACTACGACTACGACTTCTACTACTACTACTACTACGACTAGACTACGGACTTCTATTTTATATTATATACTATGATACTGCTTACTTCTACTACTACCTACTACTACTACATATACTACTATACTACTACTTACTTACAACCTACTACTATATATACTACTCTACTACTACTTACTACTACTAATACTACTACTATACACACAAACTACTACTACTACTACTTCTCTACTACTATTTCGAAGACTACTATACTTTACTTTACTGCTTATATTTATACGACTACTACTACTACTACGACTACGACTACGACTACTACTACTACTACTACTACTATACTACTATACTACTACTACTACTACTACTACTACTACTACTACTACTACTACTACTACTACTACTATTACTACGACTACGATACTACTACTACTACTACTACTACTACTACTACTACTACTACTACTACTACTACTACTACTACTACTATTATTACTACGACTACACTTTCTACAAACTACTACTATACTACAAACTACTATAATATTTTACTACTACTACTATACTATCTATACTACTACTATACTACTATACTACTAGACTACTACTATACTACGGCTACGACTGACTACTACGACTACGACTTACGACTACGATACGACTACGACTACGACTACGACTATACTACTACTACTACTACTACTACTACTACTACTACTACTACTACTACTACTACTACTACTACTACTACTACTACTACTACTACTACTACTACTACTACTACTACTACTACTACTGAAGTCCAAGAGGCTCTCTCGGGAAGTCCAAGAGGCTCTCTCGGGAAGTCCAAGAGGCGCGCTCGGGAAGTCCAAGAGGAGCGCTCGGGAAGTCCAAGAGGCGCGCTGGGACACAGAAACTCCCAACCCAGACCCACTCCAAGACACACATACACTGGGACACAGAAACACCCTATCTGGACACAGAAACACTCATCGAGGACACCGAAACCCCCATCTGGACACAGAAACACCTTTTGCCCTCTGGACCTGGGAGCTCCGCCGTCCTCGAGGGGCGGGCTCGGAACGTGGACTAGGCGATCTGATCGGGGAAGAGGAGGGAGCTGGCGACGCCGTGGGCAAGACAAATGTATAAAACCACGACTGGAGGCGAGCCCATGAAAGGCGCAGGCGGTGGCAGTCGACTGCATGCTATTTGGGTGACCCAAAAGGGGGGTCCAGCTGCAAGGGGGTGGTGCCATCGATTTGGGGCAATTGTATTGCAAATGTATTGCGCCGCAGAATTATATTGCATCGTAATGCAACTAATGTATTGCACGTGATAATCCAGCAATACCTTTGCGCACCGGGATGTATTGCACGCCCCAAACGTATCGCAACCCCACAAATCGATCGTACCAAATCTATCGCACCGCCCCCTTGTCGCTGGACCCCCTTTTGGGCCAACCCGACTTTTTCGTGACGCGACCCCCAGAGGTCTGGACCCGTTCCCCAGGACGGGCTTCCCATCCTGCATCATGGTCTGACGGCCCCGACGCCCGGTAAGGGCCCCCGGAGGCCGCACAGAGCGAAAGGGCTTTGGGAAGCGAGCTTGAGCTGAGGGGGTCGAGTGGGTTGCGAAATGAGCTGGGAGCTGCGACGCGTCGGTGAAAGGGGGCTGGAGCGATGATACATTGGCAGCGTCGAGTGGCTTCTGGACGTTCGGGAAGGACTTCGGATGTTGGGGCCCCGGGGTTCTTGCTGTCGCCACGCGAAAAGGGGTCCGGGCCCCGCCGCGCTTGCTCGACCGCGTGCTCTGCACGCGTGCGCTCCGCTCCTGCAGAGCGGCGCGCGCCCCATGGCCGGGCCCCGGGTGCGCACACCGTCCTCGCGCGCTGCGGGGCGCAGGCTCCGAGGAGGAGGAGGAGGAGGACGACGAGGAAGAGGAGGAGGAGGAGGAAGGCGACGACGAGTTGGGAGCTTCGCACCGCGTGGCGACATCTTTCTGTCCAGGAGCTGGCGCGCCACCTGGAGCGCGACTCGCTGCGGGACACGTCGACAGCCCATCGCCCATCCGTCGCCGGTCGTGGGCCCCACGGCCCACGCCGCCCAGGAGCATGCACCCCCCCCGTCTGAGCCTGGCCCCCCATGCCGTTCTCCCTCGCTCTCCCCCTCGGCGGTGCGCGAGAGCTTGCGGGGCAGGAGGGGGCCGGCGACGCCCTGAGCATGCATGGATTATCTGTTGCTGTTAACGTCTGACCCAAGCTGGATTGGATAACTTGGAGAGTCATCTGGTCAGCAGTCCGAAGCGATTCGGCAGCAGGTCGCCTCGGAACAACTTCAGAGCGCCCCAAAAAACTCCCACACAGCCCAAGACGGCCCCATGGGGGGACCGAGACTGCCCGAGAACCTCCAATGATGGCCCAAATGGGCCTCTAAGCTGACTCCAAGATTCGCCCAGCTGCCCCCAAGATGTTTCAGCCGAGCCTCTCTGGGAGAACACGGTACAACCATTGAGCCCAAGACGGCATCGAAACCCTCACGCCGACCGCGCACACGTTGAACAGCAAGACTTCTGCAGCCTGCACGCACGGAGAAAAAAATATGCGATGGACACTAAAATTAGCGGTCGAAACGCTGTATCACAATTTTGTTCCCACGATCGGGGTCGCTTGTTCCCTGGGCGGGTGGAAATCCATACCCCAACGTTCCACCGTAGCGGTAAAAACTTTGCAACCAGCGTGGGGACATGCGTCCGTGACGGCGGAAAAATGTTGTACATATTTTCGCTTAGTAATGGAAGCAACAAGTTCAGAACAGCCGTACCACGAGCAGACCAGCAGCGATTCAGATATCAGGGCGTTAACAATCTGAACTGGTCGTCGAACTCCGACGCTCTGATTGCACACTGGCGCCCCAGCGCAAGCAACACGAATGCAGTGGCGAGCAAGCCCACCACCGGAGCGCTCGACGAGCTGCTGCAGCCTCGTGGCTTTCAGCGGGGCGGGTCCCAATGACATCGACGGAAACGATCTCATAAACTCTCTCGGGGGTCCGCGCAGGTCTCTTGGATCTGCGCTGGGCACCCCTCCCTGGCGCGCGGAGCAAGCCGGGGGCGGCGCTGGAGGCGCTGCTAGGGGGGCCCAGCGCAGATCAGAGAAAAAGGGCATGTTGTACTCGCGGCCACAATGGGCGCCATGAGGGGGGGGGGGAGGCGGGAGGGTACGGGAGGGGGCATAACGTATCGCCCACCCCAACGACTGTGGTGCCAGACGCACTGCGGCAATGCCGGGGACGCAATGATGGGGGGAGCATTACATTATGGTGGGGGGAGCTAGGGGGGGAATGGCAGGGGGAATAATGCTCGTTATGGCCCGGAGGCTAGACAAACACTCTCAATCCACGCGGACCTCCGAAGAAACGTGTGCATGTATATATCTATATCTATATATATATATATATGTGTGTGTGTGGAAATTGTTGTTTTCCAGCGATTCGTCAGTGTGTGATCGCCATGCGTTATCAGACATGGCTAGCCACAGTCACTTCCACAGGTTAATGCACCCTCAGACAAAAAGGCAACGGAATCAAGCTCTACTCACCATCCGGGACCCTGACGCTGTTCAGTCTCGAAATGAAGAAAAAAGACCCTGGTCGGGTAGCCGAGTGAAGCTGGCTGGGGACATCGATGCGACCTGCTGTTCTTCCAGCGATCCTTGAACGATCGGCCGTTTCCGAAACGGATGATCGTTCAACATCGATCGATTCCCGGTCGCCGGCTGCGTTCGACGTTGAAAGCAGGCGGCGGGGTCGACGCTGGTCGACACGACGACGCTGATCTGTGCGATTGGTTGTTCTTCTTTGGCGGCGCGAAGAGGGGGTCAGGGGGAGGGGGGAAGGCTTCCTAGAAGGAGGCTGCTCTTAGAGGGCGCCAGCCCTCCAGCTGCACACAAGGCTCGCGCCTTCTGAGAAGCAGGGGTGCTTCTAAGAAGCCGTCCCCCCCCCCTCCCCGCACCCCCACTGCGCGTGGCTCACTGCCAGCGATCCCTCCACGCGTGCTTGCTGACTCTGCCCCGTGCGCACGTGCGCCGGGACCAGCCGACGACCTGCGCGAGGGGCGCGCGGGGCACCCCGCGGCCTTCGAGTCCGTCGCACGCTTCTCGCCGGCGTTGGCCATCACTTTCTCGTAGTCGCCCTGGGCGTCCTGGAGTCGGGAGGCGGGGACAGAACGCTCGGCCACCTCTGGAACGGAGCGCGAGGCCATCGTGCGGCGGCACTCCCAAAGGGGAAGGCAGAGGGATCCGGCCTTCTCGGAAGGCTCAGTAGGCCTCTGGCTTCTTTGAAGAGCTGTCGAATCCTTCTCCGAAGCCGCAAAAGGCTTCTCGGAAGGCCAGAGTTGGAGACGACCCATCGCCTTCTGACAAGGCCTGTCCCTTTCCAGCGCGCCGCCGAATGATACCAAAAGAATCCGCCGGCCCCCTTGTGGGGCCACCAGGCTGTAGGCACGGGTTCGCAGTTTCCAGTACCAGTTGTAGCTTGTAGTTTCCAGTGTTACAGTTCTGCTTCTTGCTGGTTACTGTAACTAGTTGATTGACCGCGAGAGGGGGGGGGAGGCCCAAACAGGATTTTCCAGCGTCCCCTGGGCGCGTTGTCTGAATTGCTGGGGGGGCTCGATATCGACACCCCTCACGCAGATCCGCGGGGTCAGGGTCCAAAAACACAGGGGATTTGCCACATTTCTGAAATTCGGTGCCACCCCTCACGCAGATCCGCGGGGTCAGGGTCCAAAAACACATGGGATTTGCCACATTTCTGAAATTCGGTGCCACCCCTCACGCAGATCCGCGGGGTCAGGGTCCAAAAACACAGGGGATTTGCCACATTTCTGAAATTCGGTGCCACCCCTCACGCAGATCCGCGGGGTCAGGGTCCAAAAACACATGGGATTTGCCACATTTCTGAAATTCGGTGCCACCCCTCACGCAGATCCGCGGGGTCAGGGTCCAAAAACACAGGGATTTGCCACATTTCTGAAATTCGGTGCCACCCCTCACGCAGATCCGCGGGGTCAGGGTCCAAAAACACAGGGATTTGCACATTTCTGAAATTCGGCGCCACCCCTTACGCAGATCCGCGGGGTCAGGGTCCAAAAACACAGGGGATTTGCCACATTTCTGAAATTCGAACCCATCACGCACATCCATCGCAAGGCGTGGTAACCCAAACTGCGAGAACTCCCTCGGCCCTTTCATCGCAAGGTGTGGTAACCAAGCCCTTAAACCATACACGTCTTACCAATCGCCAGGTGTGGTAACCCCTCTTGTGATCAGTTGGTTTTGCTGATTGCGACTCGGCTTCGCATGAAGTTTCGATACTGCTTCACGACAGCGCCAAGGCCTCATGACTTAGCTCTTCCATGGCTCATTCTCCGAGAGAGGGGGCCGGCGGCTAGGGGCGAAGCCCTTACGGATAAGCTACAACAACAATCATGCTCAACACACACTCCCCTTCATTTACAGTCAATACGGGCTGTGTACTCTGAAGGTTCATCGGGCTTCGTCGGATTGCCCGATGGTGATCCAGAGGCCTGTGCGCGAAAACATCACGTGCTGTGGAACAAAAACAAACATGATCAGACAACCTGGGTAAATAAAACGTGTCCAACTCAAATCAAGGTACAAACAAGTTTCTTGTCCCAGTGCGACAGTGTGCCTCACATGTCAGAGGCATGTGAAAAAAACCTTGCTTTGTCCTTCCAGTACCCCTGAATCCAAATCGCATGTGCTCGCCGTGTGTCGGGGGGGGTGGTGGTGTGGGGGTGGTATCTTTGTGTAGGTGGCTTTTGTGTGCGTCGTGCTATCTTTCTCCCTTTCTGTCTCCCTTCCTCCATTCTCACCATCAGCAGCAGCATCAACATCCGCACCCCGCTCCTCCCCCTTGGATGGCCGTGGATACCCGTGTCGAGCCGTCCCGCTGGATTTCCCAGGGGCCCGGGCAAGTGGCGACAACTGTTCGTGTCGCTGCACCCGTGGGAGGCTGGAGACAAGCAGGAGAGCCCAGCAAGGGAGGAGGAGGGATGAACGAAGGCGAAGACAAGAGGCGGGGGGAACGAGAAAGTAGGCGACCAGCATTCGCCAAAGGAACGTCGAGGTAGCACAGATCTGGAAAAAAAGAACAGACTCGTCATGCTTAGAGGCCTAGACGAGGTCGGAGTAGATGGGGTCGGAGGATCGCGCAGCATCGCCGATACATTAGCGATGCATCCGCGATGCACCGGCGATGCATCGGCGATACATGGGCGACGCCAGCGCGGAGAGAAACGGGCTCCGCATCGAGCCGCATCGCCGAGAGGCGGAGAGGGGGAGGAGGAGGAGGAGGAGGAGGAGGAGGAGGAGGAGGAGGAGGGAGGAGACGAGGAGTGGCAGGAGGATGGGGGGAGGCGGCGGATGAGGGGAGAAGATGATGATGATGATGATGAGGAGGAGGAGGAGGAGGAGGAGGAGGAGGAGGAGGAGGAAAGGGAGGAGGAGGATTTGGTAGGCTCCTGATCAAACGCCTGGAGGCTCCCGATCAAAGAATCGAGCTTCTGATAGCGTTCTGGAACGCTCTCGAACGATTTATCCCGGCCCTAGACCTGCCTGGAAGACCGCCCCAAAACTGCCCCAGCGCGCCCCAAGCCTAGTCTAGCCCAGTAATAAGACCCCGAGACTGACTCCAGAAACCTCGAGGCGGTCCCGGGAATGCACCCCACGACCCCCAAAAAACCCTGCCCCTGACGTGCCGCTCAGATCGCCCAGGATGGCCCTACGAGGCTCCAAGACTGCTCCACCCCAGGAGGCCGCCAAGATGGGCCTTGGAGGCTCGGAGATAACTGTAGTGTTGCCTACAGTGCCCGAAAGTGGTCCGAGAGACCCCAAGCTGCCCAAAGAGGGCCCCAAGATCTCTGTGGCAACTCTGGGGAGCTCCCATACCATCTTGCTGGTTCTTGCGAAGCAGCGCTGATCGACGCCAGCCGATGCTAATTGACGCTAGATCGACGCCAAACGACGCTGATCTACGCCAGTCGACGCTAAATTGACGCCTCCTCATCGACTACCAGACGCTTATCGACGCTAGTGCGCTCTAAAAGAATTGCGAGGGTACACGAAGCTCCCATGATTTGCTACCAAACCCGGGCAAACCAATAGGTACCAATACCACTACTCCCCACACCTCTCCCGGAAAGAATTCTGACTAGAATTCCGAGGCGGATCCAGCTGTGGCGACGAGGGCCTCCCAAGAGGCCCCCAAAGTGGATAACGAGGGCAAAGTAGCGGTATGGGTATATGTTCCTCCTCATGAGAACCCCCCCTCGGGGGGGTGGGGGGGCGGATATGCATCCTCTCTGGGGGCCCCAGGGCCTACCAAAGAGCAAGACAGGCCAAGAGAGCCCCGGGAGGTCACCCAGACGATCCAAAGGGGCGCCCCAATCCCCAAAAGATCGGTCCAAAACGCTTTCACGCCCTCTGCCAAGAAGGCCTCCAAGACGCCCCAAGAGGCCTCCAAGAGCACTCCCGAGAGGGCCCCAGGCAAAATTCATAGGTGTTCCAAAGGCTTTTGAAGGATTTAGACGTTCTCGTCTTTTTCCGCTTCCCACCGCTCCAAGATGGCCCAAGAAGCCCTCAAGATCACCCCAAGAAGGCCCCAGAGGCCTCCAAGAGGGCTCGAGTACAGCCCAAGAGGATCCCAAGACAACCCAAAACGCCTCCAAGACTGCCCACGAAGCCCCAAAGACGGCTCCAAGAGCGTGCCCAGACGGGGGACCCGAACGGACATTTCGAGCCCTCGGCTCCGAGAGGCTCCCAGGAGGCCCCAAGAGGTTCCCAAAAGGCTTCAAGAGGCCCTCAAGAGGCCCCCAGGAATCCCGAAGAGGCCCCCAGGAGGCCCCCAAGAGGCCCCAAAGAGGCTCCCAAGAGGCCCCAAAATTACTCTGCAGAGGCCCCCGAGAGCCTTCCGAAGAGGCCCCTAGAAGCATCCCTGAGGACTCTGGCCCATCTCAGCATCGTCATCGTCGCTGCTGCCGCCGCCACCGTCGCCGTCGTCCCCATTCAGTGTCCGCGGCACCTGCCGTAAGATCTTCGCAACAAACGCTTCCCAATCGATTTGGGTTCGTTGTTGCCTCTTGGGGCCCTCTTGAGAACCCCAATTCTCTTAGGGCGTCTTGGAGATCTCTCGAGCAGCCGTCTTGGAAAGCATGGGCCGTCTCGAGAGCCTTTTAGACAGTCGTGGAAACAACTTTGGGTCATCTGAGGCCATCCTGTGGCTGTCCGAGGCCCCTTTCCCCCCCCCCCTCTCCAGCACCGCCACGGGAGAAACGGTAACTAGCTGCGTCCCTGGAGCCTGCTTGGGGTGTCCTCGGGGTCTCTTTCAGCGGAAAGCTGGCAGGGCCGGTGTTTCTGCTTCCTGTCTGGGACGCCTCTGGGGGCCAGCTTTCGGCCTACGCGGGCCACGTTGGAGGCCTCTTGGGCTGTCGGGGGGTCTCTTGGGGCGTCCCGGCGCTCTCTCCGGACCCTGCGAAGCGGTCCTTGGAAGGTGCTCGGTGGCCTCTACTGCCACCTCACAACCTTGGGAAGCTGAAAAGGCGAGAACCCCGAGGCCCGTCAAACACATCGAATGTCAAAGAATTGTGCCTCCTGGGGGCTGATTTGGGGCCTCCTGGGTGTATTGTTTTTTCTCCGTGGCTAGATGCACGGCTGACTCAGAAGGTCATGACCTACGCCAGGGAGCCCGCTGTGCTGGCCCAACGGGGTGCCCCCCTGGCTGGGTCAGACAAAGCACGAGGCACACCCTGTCACGAGTAGGGAGTGGTGGCAAAAACAAAGGCTTGAGCGCTGACTGCCAACTTCATGAGATTTGGATCGCATGGTCATGCGAAGCTTGCCTCTGCAACCGAGCTCCCTTCCAGGGCTAACACCTGCAGAAGGGAAGTACGGTGAACGCATTCCTCCGGAGGCGTCGTTGCTTCCTGGTGGTCATCTTCTCCAAGCAACCCTCCGACTGCGAAGCCTGCGTGTCCAAGGTGCTTCACGTAGAAATTTAGATACATGGTGCCCTGCTGGTGTGCCCATGGGCAACCTTGATTTGAACCTTCCCGAACTTGAGCCACTGTGGATTCTCGCTGTGAATGCCCTGAGCCTGGAAGCGGAGCCCGCCAGTGTGTTTTTC